TTGGTACCTAAAATGTTTGGAAACGACAAACAAGTATCTTTTTTCGTCATGTGTTGTTAATGATTTTCATTTGTTAATAGTGAAAAGACTAGAATCCTCTTTATTATATGCCATGTATAACTTTATTCATCTCTATCTAGTGATGTTGAAATATTGCACATAAAAAAGATCCAATCCAATCAAATAGCATCTTTATATCTATTTTACCCCAACAACTGGGGATTAATTTGTAACTTAATTAAAGTGTATATAGGCTGTAGGGTCGGCCAGGCGTTTAATGGTTTTCGGAACAATATTTCAGAGTTTGCTTTAAACTTGCATTTGACACGTGGTATTAAATTAGATTAATTTAGTTCTAGAGAATAGATTTGCTTAAATTGTAAATACTATTTTGTGTTTGGTAAGTATCGTACTAAATCTAATTATATAAGTTGATAAGTTCAAAATTTTCTACTAAATTTATTTAGTGTTTTCAAAAAAAATGTGGGTCTATATATAATTAACCAAAATTTCAAGCTCTATACCAATGTAACTAACTGCTTTAACTAAATACTATTATACCATCATCCCTAACCTTCCAACACTTAAGCAAAACCTTATCATTTTCAAACTTTCATTTGCAATCTCTTGCACCAGAAATACAACATCAAACAAGTAGAATCAATACATCCAAGTAACAAGATTGATCTTTAACTTAAAATTCTTATATTCCTGTTATTTTTCATTTTTTATGTTACAATAATTGTCTGCAATATTTCTTGGTTGACATACTTTAATACACCAACAGGCTAAAAAATACTCTATCGGACAAAATATTTTACATAATGCAATAGAAAATTATGCCAATAAAGAAAGACAAAATTTGTATTTTAAACTAGTTGGCGTATTTTTAAACGAATTGCCATAAAAAAATTATGCCAACTAGGAATCTTTAAAAGAAATTTCCCAGTTGGGGTATTTTCCCATGCCAATTGGAAAAATAACGTCAAGTGTCGAACCACCTACAATTCCTCAAATTCAGCACAAACAAAACCAATACACTTATATTCACATCAAACACAACATCACCCACACCACCAACACTCATAATATTCATAAAAAAGTAATTCTAAGTCTATAACTCAATCTCACAACCTTCTCTCATAATCCTGACGTGGCAGTTCGTAATTGGTTAGCTCGCAAATAAGTAGACAGGACCCGTAACAAGCAGGCAGGATCCATCTACGAGTTGACCAATTACGAGTTGTCACATTAGAGGTTGTAAACTTAGCATTACTATTCGTAAAAACAACGTCCACAACAATAATCACATTAACCCGAAAACTGTAGAAATTTAAAATCCAAAAACCTTAACTCAAACCCAAAAATCTTACATAAACTAAAATATCCAAATATCCGGTTAAACTTTTTCTCACCACCAAAATTGCCTAGAAATCAATCAAAGAGGAATCAAAATACTAGCTTTAATCAATGTGTACCGTGTTAATGCAGTAAGGAAGTGAAAATCCGAAAATCAAAATCGGCTCCAACCCCTTTTTTTAAATGGGAAAGCCATGGAGTAATTTCGGGAAAATATATGGCATTTGGTGGTTATATGGATATAGGGTTTGAAATTTTGGTTATTTAATTAAAACCCATTGATTTAACTAGATAATTGGATATTTATATAATGTAATATAAAAATTTATTTATGTTTTATTAGTAACTCATTAATATGATCTGTTTGGAATGATCAATGGCCTTCCTTTCTAATAGAATATACAAACATTTAGTACACTGTTTTGTCCGGTTGTGAAAAATTGTACAGTCAACTAGTCAAGTTTGTTTTGTCCAACACTATATGAGCAATCGCGCCCTATATATGATCGGTGGTACTTTTAATTGACTTAAGTTTTACAAAGTTCATATGTATTTTGTTACTCAATTTCTAGAAAAGCTTTGAAATTATCGTATCATTCAACTGTTACGGATTATTGGAATAAGGGGAAAAGTTTTCCACTTATCCAAAGTATTTATTCTTGGGTGACCATGAGTGTGTGATGCCTTTATCAAACTAAAAGCATCTTTTTCAATTTCTTCAGACAAATTAATATTAACTATTTAATGTAAGTTTGATTAGATATTTTATCTTAATGTTGTATATATTTTGTTATCTAACTGTTCATTAAAAAAATTATATAATAAGGTTAATATTGACTTATCAGTTACCCTAATACTCTATCCTCACCATTGGGGGACGAATCGCACCTAACATTACCTAATTAAATTTTTAATATCTTTCTTAATATCCATGCCACTTGTATTAATTTCATTTCCATTACAAGCACTTGAATAGTTTTACAAAATATAGAAAATAAAGGTATACAGTGTTAAAACGAAAGTCTATAAAACCAGTGAAATTGCAGTCCCCTTGTATCATAACTCAAAAGAAAAAATGCCTTATTTTGCTATTTGGCCCACTACTGCTACAAAGGAGCTGCCTACAAGCGTGCCTCTGACCACAAAACAACTGGAGGAAATTTTCAAAAAAAATGACGTCGACGGAGATGGCCGCCTCACCAAGGAAGAGCTGAAGAAAGCATTTGAACAACTGGGTTCACGCAATCCTGGTTGGCGAGTTCATCGTGCGTTTCGCCATGCAGACAACAACAAAGATGGATCCATCAGTTTGGAAGAGCTGGATGAACTAGTCAAATATGTTGTCGGTTTAGGATATCGCATCAGTTAGTTTGAGGTAT